GATAAACAGTTGGCCATCAGGGCACAACTCCAACAATCTCCCACTTGCACTATGGCCAATCTGGCATCGGTCTAATGCCCATGGACCTAGTGTGACCCTTATGCTTTAGCTTTCCTAAAGGCTTGGTCAAGGGGTCGGCTATGTTGTCGTTAGTATCCACTTTGCAAATAATCACATCTCCTCTGTCTACGATTTCTCGTATGATGTGATAGTGTCGTACAATGTGTTTGGTTTTCTGGTGAGATCGCGGTTCCTTTGCCTGTGCAATGGCCCCAGTGTTGTCGCAAAACAACGAGATAGGGTCATTAATACTAGGAACCACTCCAAGTTCAGTAATGAACTTCTTGATCCAAACAGCTTCTTTAGCTGCCTCGGCGGCAGCTATGTACTCAGCCTCTGTAGTCGAATCGGCGGTTGTATCCTCTTTGAAGCTCTTCCAGCTAAAGACTCCGCCATTCAGGCAAAACAAATATCCTGCTTGTGATTTTGAATTGTCTCTGTCGGTTTGGAAGCTAGCATCAGTGTAACCGACCACCTTTAGCTCTTCCTCACCACCGTATACCAGGAATGCATCCTTAGTATTGCGAAGATACTTGAGGATGTTCTTGACCGCTGTCCAGTGTGCTTCTCCTGGACTTCCCTGGTATCTGCTGGTCACGCTTAAAGCGAATGAGACAGATCTAGTACATATCATGGCGTACATGATGGATCCAATCGCAGAGGCGTATGGAACCTTCATCATGAGTTCCTTTTGCTCAGGAGTAGAAGGACTCTGGCTCTTGAAAAGAACCGTGCCAGGTGTCATAGGTAAAGATCCTTTCTTTGAGTTAGACATGCTAAATCGATCAAGGATTTTATCTATATATGCACTTTGATTTAGACCTATTAACTTTCTTGATCTATCTCGGTAGATTCTTATGCCAAGAACATAACTAGCATCCCCTAAGTCTTTCATGGAGAAGTTCTCGCTCAACCACGTCTTTACAGAAGTGAGAGCGGGAATATCGTTACCCATTAACAATATGTCATCGACATATAAGATTAGGAATACTATTACACTCCCACTGACCTTCTTGTATACACAAGATTCGTCAGAGTTCTTCTTGAAACCAAAACTGGAAATGGTTTTGTCGAAACGTATGTACCAACTCCGAGATGCTTGTTTCAGTCCGTAGATTGAACGTTGCAGCTTACAAACTTTGCCAGACTGACCAGCAATTTGAAAACCGTCAGGCTCTGTCATAAAAACATCCTCTTTGAGGTTCCCGTTAAGGAAAGCCGTCTTGTCGTCCATCTGCCAAATTTCATAATCGTAATAGGCTGCAATCGCAAGCATTATCCGAATGGATTTCAGCATAACAACTGGAGAAAAGGTTTCATCATAGTCAATTCCGAGGATTTGTCTATAACCTTTTGCTACCAATCTAGCTTTGAAGGTATGAACCTTCCCGTCTACGTCTGTCTTCTTTTTGAAGACCCACTTGCATCCAATGGGTTTTACCCCTTCGGGCGCATCAACCAAGGTCCAGACTTGGTTTGTGTACATAGACTCCATTTCAGATTTCATGGCTTCGAGCATAGATCGGATTCGGGGCATGTAATTGCCTCGAGGTAGGTCTCTGGTTCGCCTTGATCTACCAACAAGACGTCACCTTCATCAGACATGAGAAATCCATATCTGACCGGAGGATTACATATCCGGTCTGACCTACGTGGTATATCTTGAGCAATTTGAGGTTCAATTGCTTGATCTCTTTGCTCAGGTTCCAACACTATCGGGACTTCTTCTTGTGGTTCTCGAATTTCTTCGAGGTCTACCTTTCTCCCACTAGTGATAGCAGAAAGAAACTCCTTCTCAAGGAAGGTTCCATTCCGAGCAACAAAGATTTTGTTATCGGATGGATGATAGAACTCATACCCTCTAGTTTCCTTGGGGTATCCCACAAAAATTACTTTATCAGATTTAGGCTCCAACTTACTAGACGTCATGAGACGTTTTACATAAGCTTCACAGCCCCAAATCTTAAAGTACGAGAAACTCGGTTTTCTCCCACGCCATAGTTCGTATGGTGTGCTCTCGACAGCTTTAGATGGAACTCTGTTGAGTGTGTGCGCTGCTGTTTTCAATGCATATCCCCAAAATGATTCTGGCAATGTTGTCAGACTAATCATGCTCCG